GTCTTGACTTCCCAGGCTCAGGCAATCCTCCTACCTCAGCCTCCCCAGTAGCTGGGACTAGAGGCATGCACCACCATGCTCAGCTAATTTTTGTATTTTTTTGTAGACATGGGTTTCACCATATTGCCCAGGCTGGTCTCGAACTCCTGAGCTCAAGCAATTCACCTGCCTCGGCCTCCCAACTCCTGAACTCAAGCAATTCACCTGCCTCGGCCTCCCAAAGTGCTAGGATGACAGCATAAGTCACTGTGTCCTGCCCCACTTGTAAGGATCCATGTATTACATTGGGCCCATCCAGATAACCCACGATTGTCTCCCTATGTGCATATTGGCAACCTCCATTCCCCTTCACCTGTAACACAATCCCGAATTCTGGAGATTAGGTCCTGGACATCTTTGGGAGGCCATGATTCTGCCTGCCTCATTTTACCCATTCAAATGTCATCTTCAGTCATGAGGACATCAAGGTTTGTAAGACATGTTTTCGGTCATTGTGAAAAGTCACAGCCCAAGCTCGGATCCTCCAGGAGTGCTGGCTTCCAGTCCAGATGTAATTGAACTGTACACAAATTTACCAAGCCTTCCGCATCCCCTCCACCTCCGTCCCTTCTTCAAGCTAAACCTTTCCCTTCTGAGGCTGAGTCGCAGCGGCCTCTGGGGTTTTGAAGTAGTGGGAGTTCTGCTGTCTTCCACACGCTGGAGTTAGGAAGCCTCTGTTCTTCACGAAGCCTGGAATGCCCAGAGAGCTTTGTTCTTTCACACATTCTCCGCCTCTGCTGAATCCGACACCGCTTCCCTCTGAGGTGCCAAGGGGGCTGCAGCATCGCTGGAGTCCCCTCAACAGCGACTCGAAGAAGAAAAGAGGGACAATCTCTTTCAGAAGTGAGAAAACTCTCCCCAGTTCTCTTCCCACCGGTCAGCTGACTTCCCCTGACTGGCCGGATGGGGTCACATGGCCATTACTAAGCCAATCACCGTCAAAGAAATGTGATTGCTATGCTTGGCTTGATAATCGTCTTTGTCTCAGACCCTGAGACAAGGGCTTGGCTGCCATACGCTTCTTTTTTTTTTTTTTTTTTTTGATATGGAGTCTTGCTCTGTTGCCCAGGCTGGAGTGCAGTGGTGCAATCTCAACTCACTGCAACCTCCACCTCCCAGGTTCAAGTGATTCTCCTGCCTCAGCCTCCCGAGTAGCTGGGACTACAGGCATGTGCCACCAAGCCCAGCTAATTTTTTGTATTTTTAGTAGAGACAGGGTTTTGCCATGTTGGACAGACTGGTTTTGAACTCCCAACCTCAGGAGATCCGCCTGCCTCAACCTCTCAAAGTGCTGGGATTACAGGCATGAGCCACAGCACCTGGCCTCTATGTGTTTTTGGGAAGCGATCCCAGGAAGGAAGATTGAGGGAGGGAGGCAGACCTATTACAGGGTGCACTCAGGAGCACGTTGCCCGTGCGAGCAGCTGGGTGTCTCCCTGGGGACCCTCTGAGGAACTGTGTAGAATATGGCTCAGAACTGACCTGCCAAGAAACATGGAATACGGGCTATTTATCCATAACTCTGTACCCTTAAGGGCATTTAATCCTTGTCACTTCCAGGCCAGGCTAAGTAAACTGTCCCCCACCCCACCTCACCCCGGTGTGATAAAAATAGGCAGAGCCACAGACAGAGGCAGGACGTAGACAGGGAAGCTTCTAGTGTGCATGTGGACTGTCCGCTATAGCATGGGGTGGACTCGAGGTGGCTGAGAGGACATGGGGCAGGGCACCAACCTCACTCACGCCAGGACCTCCCTGACTACAACATGGGTAGAGAGGACAGCTTAGCCTCAGGACAAACAAACCCACCTAGGATTGGTGTCTCCTCCTGGCACTGCTTCTGGGAAGCACTTCAGAGTTTCAAAGTTGTATTGGTAAGCGTCCGCAGTGAGAACATGGGACTTAACATGTGGCTTAGTGGGCACATAGACCAGTCAGCCTGAAGGCTGACTGATTGAATTTGGAAATCGACAAGGTAATTCACTGCGGGAGGAAATGCTGGCCAAAGCGTTCCCAGCAACTGTGTGTGATGGGCAGGGCCAGAGGCCCCCCACCCACGAAGGCATGGTCATGCAGTGTTACAGGGACCCTCCTCTCCTTGGCTCATAATCACTCTGCCCTGACAGCAGCTGGGCGCTGGGCCCAGGTTTATCCCTCGGGGGGAAGAAGACCAGGTAGGCGGAGACTTCACTCCTCTGGGGCTGCTCCAAAGAATGGTGACTCTGACCTTGGAGGACACACGAAGACTTGGGGCTGGAGGAAAACTCCCCAAAAAGGCTTGGATTGGCAATAGGAGCCTGACTTCTGCTTGTTTATACAAATAGAAATAAAAGCCGTTTTTAAAACATCCCCTGCAGTTTCACCCAAAGTCAACTATTAGTGGACTTGAAGAGGGCAGGAGGTGAAGCATGTGTGTAGGAATTCCACTCACAGCCCCCAGCCCAGAGTTTTCCTGAAGTCCAGGCTGAGTCGAATGTGAAGGGACAATCAACTAAGGGGCTCTCCATTCACAGGGAAGCCAGCTTCTCTTCCTGGGGTGATTTCAGTGTGTACTTACTAGACCGAAGACTAATATCCCAGGTGGGCTGCTTTCAAACTCATTGAGCCATGAAACCCGAGGACTAAGCTCCGATTTTTTTTATCTTGCCCAAATTCTAACGGGTCTGGGGAGTCATGCGCTACAAACCGTACGTTCTCATCAGATGGGTTTTATTTAATCCTGTGTATCGTGACTTACTTTCCAATCTGACTCTGGCATAACAAAGGGAAAAAATCAAAAAGTTTTGCCACAAAACATGTTTCTCTGCCATATCTTAAAATTGCCCTGCAAATTCTCTTGCGGGAAAAATCCACATTCTGTAGAGAATCCCCTTCCCCCTTTGTTTTCCCTCCTTTCTTTCCGGATCCTGGAGATAATCAACTAAGAGACAGGTACCCTTTTAGGTTCAATAAGAAACATTTTACAATCTGCTCTCTCTGAAGTCTTCTATCTGAAAGATTCGTCTGCACAATACAACTTGGTCTCCACAATCCTTTATCTTAACCTGAACATTCCTTTCCATGGATCCCAGGTCTTCAGATAAACTCAACCAATTGTCAACCAGAAAATAATTAAATTTACCTATAGCCTGGAAGCTCCCCACTGCTTTGAGTTGGCTTGCCTTTCTGAACCAAACCGATGTATTTCTTTTCTTTTCTTTTCTTTTTTTTGCCAAATGTCCCACATTTATTTACATATGAAATGTGTTTCATATAGTTATGATGGATGGAGTGTATAACACCTGACAGCAGCAAGACCTTTCGAGGAACCGAACGTTGACTACAGTATATCATGCAAGTCTCTATATATACACAAAATAATTCCTTTTCTTAAAAAAAAAAAGTACAAAACATGTTCAGGGATAAATACAAAATATAAAATGCGAAATAAAACACAAAACAAAACCAAAAAATAGAACTGTCTCAGAGGACTGTAAACGGAAGGGACCGAAGAGTACCTCTGCTGCATTTTAATAGAGCAGAACTACGGACATTAAATATACTTCTTGAAATGGCTGAACTAAACCCGGGTGGCTCAGTGCTTAAGGGAACCGCCAATTGCAACACACAGGCGGCTGCACTGATAAGTCGGTGGTTGACGTTGTGCCTCCCAAAAGACAAGTACCAGAATGTCAGGCCTCTGAGCCCAAGCTAAGCCATCATATCCCCTGTGACCTGCATGTACACATCCAGACGACCTGAAGCAACTGAAGATCCACAAAAGAAGTGAAAATAGCCTTAACTGACGACATTCCACCATCGTGATTTGTTCCTGCCCCACCCTAACTGATACGATATATTCTCCCCCGCCTTTAAGAAGGTACTTTGTAATATTCTCTCCCCGCCCTTGAGAAGGTACTTTGTTCGCCTATCCCAAACCTGTAAGAACTAATGATAATCCCACCACCCTTTGCTGACTCTCTTTTCGGACTCAGCCCGCCTGCACCCAGGTGAAACCAACAGCCTTGTTGCTCACACAAAGTCTGTTTGCTGGTCTCCTCACACGGACGCGCGTGACACACAACGTTTGGCAGCCGCACACCGAACGGGAAACGCCAACTCTTTTGACAGCAAAGGGTTAAGTCAACTGATTGTATTTTTTCTGTCAAGAGCCAGAGAAATACTTGTTGTTCTTAGTTGCGTTTCTGTAATAGTTAATAAATGGCATGACAAAAACCTGACTATATAAATCTATTGGTCTAACTACGTATTTGTAACTTAGTAGTCCAGCCATTTCGTTACTTTCCCGCCTTGCGCTCTTAAAGCCAGCCTTGCAGATCTGCCCAGAAAACCAGCCTCATGTTTTTTTCCTTTAGAATAGCCTTCCCCATTCCTCAAAATGGAATTGAGGAAATCAGCATTCCTTAGTAGATTCCTGGCTTCAGTTTTTATCCACGACTGGGAAAGGAGCGACCTGCAAGGCTGCTTTAAACACCCTTTGGGGTGGCCTGAAGGCAAAGCTGCACCCACACTGGAGTGCCGTTGTCTCAAACTCACTCCCTCAGGGCAGGCATATCCAGGAAGTGCTAAGACACTTAAAAGTTCCTAGTGTTTCTGAGACCCACAATTACTTACGATTTATGTAGTGAATTCTAAAAATTGAAAACACTTAAAAAAGGCATTATTTTAGCCTGTCTTTAGTTAACCCATTCAAAATCCAAACATACAAAATGGTTTATTTGAATTCAGAACTGCCCCTGTTACTAAGAACTCTGTTTTAAAGAAACAGTACCAAAAGAAAAATTCTAACCCAAAACAACTAAAATCGTTTTCCACTAAATACTGACACAAACGTGTAGCAAAGAGTATAAAAAGTTATTCATTTAAATATATACAAACTCTTTGAAACTCAAATACTGTTTAAATTAATACTTATTGAGGATATATACGATGAGGTGAAGAAGGAAGGTATGTTGAAAGAGAATATATTGCAACAGCCTACACAGTACTGTTAACTCTATTATACTGCAAACTTTTTGTAACAAAAATGTCTTTTTTATTCCAATGTGGACAGGGATTTTCCTCATGGAGCATCTGTGGCTGTTTCTCGGCTGAGCTCATCCTTTTGGATTTGATGAATCCAAAAAATACTCACATGCATGTGTTCACATGTGAGTATTTAAGGCAGCTTCAGTTTCAAAAGTTTTTGTGCACACTTTGCATTTCTGTCTGACACGGCGCCATTGGGGGATTCATCCTCGTGGCTGGGTTTGTTCTCCTGTTGGTTATCGTCCCCAGCCCCATTTTGCTTGGACACTGGCTGAGGTTCCTTTAACTTGTGTACGATGAAGAGGTGCCTGGACAGGGAGACGTGAGACGTGTAGCAGAGGCCACACTCCCAGCACTGGTAGGAAGAACCATCCGATTTGTGCTGAGGGATGTGTTCGTGGAACTGCAGCAGGTTTTCGGTGGTGAAGCCACACACGACACACCTGTGAACCTGCAAAACATTGATTTTCAGCTTTTTCAGTGGTTGAGTGATGGCTCCTCGGGGAGGCCTGAACTCCAGAACTGGTTCTTCCAACTTCCGCTTGGGACTGGGGACCTTGGTGTCTTCTTTTATTTCTGCTTCCTCCTCCTTGGTGGCGTGTCATTTCTTTCATGGCAGGGTCCTTAATGCCGTGCACCAGCTGGACGTGCTTCTCCAACATCAATCATTTGGTAAAGGTACTTCTGGAGTCTGGGCAGTGTGAGCAGGCGTACACTTTCCTGATGACTCTGTGTTTGATCCGGTTGTGCCGGCGCAGGCTGTGGGACGAGCTGAAAGGCTTGTCACACTGGCGGCAGGGGTGTTTCTTCACTTGCTTCCCGTGCTCCTTCCTTGCGTGGGATATGTACACATCTCTCTGCATGAACAGGCGGTCACACTCCCAACACGTCCACCCAGGCCTGGACACTTTCTTGGTTTCCATTGGTTTTTTTTCACAGGAGATGGAGATTTCTTTTCCAATTTCTCTTTCCCATACATGGATTTGGTGTCCTCTTTGTTCTGATTTGCTGAATTTTGAGTTGCAGGCTTAATGCTCAAAGGCAAGTTTATACCCAAGTTTGGAGGCCCTTCAATACTTTTCAATGTTCCGTGCACAGACTTGATATGGTCCATCATAAGTTGCTTCTGTGCATATAAAAGAGAACAGTCTGGACACTTGAAAACAGACACCTTCTGGTTTTCAATGTGTTGGTAAAAGTGGTGATACAGCAAGGTTTGCAGGGTGAACACGGTGTCGCACATGGAACACTTACATATTATTTTTGGTTCTTCTATCTTGATGCCAGGATGCTGTGTGTAGGTGTGGGAATGTGTGCTTGGGGCAGACTTAAATGCCATTGGACAAATATGACACTTATTGAAGACTTCACAATGAGAACCTTGAATGTGAGACTTCAGAGCAGCCCCATCAGAGTACACAACATTGCAATGCACACATCGAAAACCAACGCTTCTCGTGTAGTGCAGACAGTTCTTGGTGACGTGAGTCTGGAAGTGCACAGACCTGCCGATGGCCCCGCACTCAGGGCAAGTGTAGGGAGATTTGTGCTGATGGATTCTTCGGTGTGATGCATAACTGCACCGGTTAGGAAGCAGCATCTGGCAGATGGTGCAAGTCTTTTGTCCACTCGTATCTGCAGCCTGCTGGAAATGTGTAGCCAGTGGCGTCTCGTCCGGGAAGACTTCATTACACTCCAAACGTTTTAGACTATGTCACACAGTTTGGAGGGGTCTTCATCTAGGGGCATGGCTGCGATGATGGGAGTGCTTGAAGGAGCCAATATGACTGTCCCAGTTATGCCAGACTGAATTTTTGCGACAGTGTGTGTGCCGGCTCCCACATGGCTCTGAAGAGTGGAAGTTGAAGTGGAAGTATTGCTTGATGGAGAAACTGTCATTTGATCTGCTGGGACTGGCTTTAAAATTAAGTGAGAGCACTGCATTACCACCCCTTTCTCCTTATGCCCACGGGCATAGGAAAGGAGGCTGCATTTGTTGTAAAAAATGAGGTTGTTTGTACAATGGTTGCACATTACTTTGATGCACACGATCCATCTGTCGCAGCTCTGGGTCAGACTCTTTTCTTTTCTTTTTTTTTTTTTTGAGACAGAGTCTTGCCTTGTCACCCGGGCTGGAGTGCAGTGGCGGGATCTCGGCTCACTGCAAGCTCCGCCTCCCGGGTTCACGCCATTCTCCTGCCTCAGCCTCCCAAGTAGCTGGGACTACAGGAGCCCACCATCACGCCCGGCTAATTTTTTGTATATATATATATATATATATATATATATATATATATATATATATATATTTTTTTTTTTTTTTTTTAGTAGAGACGGGTTTCACCATGTTAACCAGGATGATCTCAATCTCCTGACCTCATGATCCACCTGCCTTGGTCTCCCAAAGTGCTGTGCACAGGAGTCCCCACACTCCAAGCACCTGTACCCATGCATCGGTAACGTGATCCCTGCATTGGCAGGAGGACTGAGGTTTGGGATGTAAACAGGGACTGGATTGACACTGCTTGGCACCTTGTTGAAAGCTTCCACCACAGAATTCTGCAAGGACGACACCACCTGGACTTGAGACATCTTTTGGGGAGGGGTTTTCGAGGCTGCTGCATTGATTATTACCTGTTTTATTTGTTGCTGAGGTTTGGTTAGCACTTGGCAGAGTTCAGAGGTGGCCTGGGCACCCTGAGGCAAAAGATTAAGGTTGGCAAGGTGCACAGTCTTTGGCAGGAGTTTGGCGTTGGCCAGGCTGGATGCTGGCACCACGACAATTTGCTGCTGGATGGCATTGTTGGCTTTAATGATGGCACTGATGGCACTCTGGACAGAGGCAGCAGATATGAGTGTGGCTTTCACCATGGTGTTGTTAGTAAGCTTCAAATTAATGACTTGGGATCCTGCTGTCTTCACAGAAGACACTGGGAGGAAAGTAGTAGCCACAGGCTTGATTGTGACCTGTTTTGGGGGTGAGCTCTGCAGGGGAAACTGCATTGGTCATGACCACGGACTGAGGAGGTGCCTTGGGGAGAGAGGAAAGGATGGCGGCTGATGCTGGAGATGACAGAAGGGATGTCACAGAGGCCATCACGGATGCTGTCTGCTCGGAAGGTTTCTTCCCAGAGTCAAGATCCACTTCTGGCAATACCCTGGTCACTGTTCTCTTGATTTCTGCAGAAGATGTCTTAATGGTTTTTATGCGGACTTTGGGGATTGCTGATGTGGACCCTGTGGGAGAGGACGGGGAGCCCTTGCTGCTGTTCTCCCTTGAGATGCTTCTGGGACTATTCGGTGGCTTTGGGGATGGTTTTTTGGTCCCGTCGATGAGATTCTGGGATTCAGGAGACTTGTTGGCGGCTCTCGGACTGTCGTTTACTTCTTTTGGTAATGGGGAAGATTCCCTGGAATTGGCCACTGGTTCTTTGCAAGAGTCTGAAGCCGCCTTTTTAGCACTGAGAGCCGCGATAGCAGCAATACAGGATGAGAGCTTGGAGGATGACTTTGTCTTTGTGGCTCAATGCCGTGGAGGCCGGTGTCCTTCTTCTCGGAGCTCGGCTTCCCATCCAGGACTCTGTTTTCCAGCACCTTGTCAGAGTTTTCCTTCAACTTATCCTCTGCTTTTCTGACTTTAAAAGGTTCATAAACACTCAGGTTTATAGAATTGGCTTTGGCTTCTCTCTTAACAATTTTGTTTTTCTCTATATTGCCTGACGTAGAGAGTCCAGTTTTGCTGGAGTTTTCCCCTCTGAGTGCCTTCAGCTTATTGCAGTCCTGCTGGGGAGCCGACCCCGTCAACACCTTCGGCCTGAAGCTTGATTGCACGTCCTCCTTGTCAGGGGGTTCATCCACCTCCATCTTCTCATCGTCATCAAACTCTTCAGCACTGGAGATCGGGCTAAACTGGCTGAACGTCGCGTCTTTCAGAGTCACCTGGGAGGCAGGCATGTCTCCTTTCAAGGACTTCGCTCCATCTTTACCGTAACTGTAAAGAGAGGACGCTGTGAGAAACCCATTATGTCGGCCATTGCTGGTGGTTGTAACCGTCTTTCTCCCGCCCTCCGAGGAGCCGACATTCCTAACATTCTTGAAGATCATGCTGACATCCACGTTGGAAGACGATGGTGTGTGGGAGTCATCCTCTCCGTGAGCATTCTGCTTCATGTGGCTTTCGTGGTCATCGCGTCCATTCTCAATAGCTGCTTTAGGATCAGCCATATCTGGGATGTCAAATGCTGCCAGGGGGTCATCAAAGTCTGGGGTCTTCCTATCCCCCATGGTCATGAATTTGAGGAGATGTTCTTGTGAAACTTGACCTTTTGGAAAGAGCTTAGATTACTGTCACACAGCTGCATTATCAGCAAACGGGAAAGGGTTAAAAGCAGCCCCAGTCAACAGGCCTTTTGGCCTTCATAATAGTCAGAAGCATCCCCGACACCCTTTAGTAGCTTCTAAAAGAAAAAGCACAAAACAGAACATACCCCCTTCCTGGGGCTGGCCTTCACGGCAGTCAAGCCTGGGCGTTTGGGCCGCAGCTGGGATGGCCTTTGTTCAGTGTAGCGCTGCCCAGGGCTGCTGCTGTGGCTACTGCTGCTGTCGACGGAGCGGTGGTGGCGGCGGCGGCGGCGGCGGGGGCTTCCATGTGACAGGCCTGTCATCTGCGACCCCACTGCCGGGGTCTGTGTGTGCGTGTGCGGTGGAGCGGCCTCGCCGCTGCCTCCCAAACCAATGCATTTCTTAAATGTATTTGACTGATGTCTCCTGCCTCCCTAAAATCTATAAAACCAAGCTGTACCCCGACCGCCTCGGGCACATGTTCTCAGGACCTCCTGGGGGCTGTGTCATGGGCCATGGCCACTCATATTTGGCTCAGAATAAATCCCTTCAAATATTGTACAGAGTCTGACTCTTTTTGGTGACAGAGCCTTTCTTCAGTGCATGCGTTCTCTAGAGGATGTCGGGGCAGAGCCCAGTGACAGGTGTGGGGCTCAGAGGCTGAGCTGCCTTTTCCTCCCTCTGCTGGGTAACAAGGAGCCCTAAAGCATGCTGGCTCATGTGAGTGACTGCCTCATGAATATTGAATTTATTCTCTCCTCCATGTGGCCACAATCCCCACGGGGACTTTTCTGAGGTGAGGAGGCCCTGAGAGCTGCGTATCTCCTCTTGATCAACAGCACAACACAGCTTTCTATAGAAATGCTTCGGGAAGGGAAGAACTGGGCTCAACTGGTATCTTCTCCATGGTGTAAACTGCCTACTTCAAAAAATAATAAACATATTTCCCTCACCACTTCCACCCCAGCTGTGCCCCTGCACACTAATAGAAGTTCACAACAAAGTTGTTAGTTCCCTTCTTGGTCTTTGGAAGATTTTGAGGCAGCCTCTCAGAAAACAAGACAATAAAATAATTGTTGTAATAAAACCTGTATGCGTTTCAGGAGACTTATCAGAATGTCTGGCAGGAATAATTGCTTTTCTGAAAATATAATTATTTTTTCAGCTCACCGCCTTGGTTACTTCTCTTCCCAAGTTCCAAGAAGCCTGGTAACTCCTCCCCACACTAAGAAGTACAAAGGAAATAAGGTCAGGGGCATCCAAGCAGACCCTGTGAACAGCAAGAGCCCATACTGTGCTGAGGGGGCTGTTACTGCTATTGCTGGTCACGTAGAGTGTTGTGTTCAGGCCGCACCCACGTAGGGGTGCCTAACTCCAGTAAACTCATTTTGGTCTAAAAGAACCATAATTTTATATTCCTCATGACCATGGGAAGCCAGTGTTCACTCCTGGTATGGAAAAATCAGCTGACTCCTACTCCTCGGGTTGGTCGGTTGGTTTCTGCTTGGGAGCTAAATGCCTTTTATTTTCTGAGTTCCCTCCTGTAGGTACGAGGACAACAACCAATGTAGCGGCAGGTCCTGTTTATGCCCCAGGCACCCAAGCTGAGATAACGTTCTCCAGAAACTGAGAACATTCTTGCTGGCTGAGGCCCTAATTAGAGATTAGGACATGCCTTACAGACCTGTTGTTCTAACAAACAGCTTGCCGGCAGCCTAGTTCGCAGGGTTTGCAGAGCTAAAGGAGCTCTTAATGAATCAGAGAATTTAACACATTGAATCTTTGTTTGTAAAATGATGGGCTTGTTGTTTTTGAACTAATCACATCTGCACAGGGGTCTTTAAGACAATAAAAGCGGACAGTTTAAAGAAGTAAAAGGAAAGAAACAGATCTACTGATACTCAACAACAAACTGAAAACTGTTTTGTGTTAGAGGTCATTAGAGCTGGCTCCAAGGAAAGAGAATAAAAATTTACCCAAATACAGCTTTTCCTTCATCTCATCTGTGTCTATATCCTCTAGTCTGTGTGAACATTGATTTCAAACATTTCTCGTAAGGTGCAAACCCCACCGTTAGGAACCGTGCTCCCCTCAATACATTTACACCCTGACCCCCATGTGATGGTAGTTGGAGAGGGGTCTTTGGGAGTGATTAGGGTTAGAAGAAGTCATCATATGATTGAGTTATGATTAGTGTCCTTATAAGAAGAGACACCGGAGAGCTTGCTAGAGCCGGTTGACTGTGACCTGAGGAACCAAGGATGTCCAGTGTCCCCGGGGGCAACAGATGCCACAGTGGGGAGTGTGCTGCAGGAGGGCAGGGGCAGCCAGCTGCATACGGAGCCCTTCCTTGGACTTGCGTGACCCTGCTGTGCAGCTTGCCTCTGCTGTTGAACGCTCCAACACTCACTTTGTGACAGGTCGTCCCCGAGAAAACAACCTGGGAAGCCTCTAACCTCGGGAAAACCCCGCGCTTATTTTATTATAACGTCAAAATCCAATGTTTATGCACTAGGTTTTTGAGCTCTCAAATCTCCAGTGCAATAAATCCCATCACAGAGGCTTTAAGTCCCCTGCAGGTTGATTCTGTGACTAATTTCCCAATTGTTTCTTTGAGCAGGAGACCGCCCTGCAGGGATCAGTCTGGGCACGGCTCTCCTGCGGTCTGTACTGATGGCTCCCGAGGCTGTGTCTGAGCGGAGAAGGAAAAACTTGAAGTGTCGGCAGAACGCTGGAGACTCTGTCACCTGCTGCTCCACACTGACTGGAGTGAGGTGGTTCGACAAGGAGAGATCTGTGGGCACAGACCTTCTTCTGGCGGGACAGGGGAGGGAGAGACAAAAAGGAAATTAGCCACAAGCCATGGTAATATAAGAATACTCATCACAGCATTTGTTTCAAATAATAGGAAAAAGGTAGAAGCGACTTTAATATTAACCACTAGAGAATTAGGTGAACTGTGTCACAGAATAATACGTATAATGAAATGCCAAGAAGTCATCGTTGTGTGTGTGTGCATGTGTGTGTGCACCCGTCTGTGCATGTGTGTGTGTGCGCATGAGTGTGTGTGCGTGTGTGTGCATGTGTGTGTGCGCATGAGTGTGTGTGCGTGTGTGTGCATGTATGTGCGTGCGTGTGTATGTGTGTGCGTGTGTGTGCGTGCGTGTGTGCACCTATGTGTATACATTGTAAGAAATGAGGACTACAATTTGTTTATACTAAAAGCAATTCATAAAACAAGAATTTGGAGTGTGAGATCGCTTTTGCTTTTCAGTACATATTTATACATGCAGGCTCGCCAGTCCTAGATTACAAAGCAAGACATGAAGGTGCCAAAGCGTGTCTCTATGTGTTAAGATTCCAGGTGACTTTATCTGTTTACTTTAATATTGTCTGCCACTCTTACAGTGAATATAACATAATCAGAAACAAAGGCGTTTATAATCCTGAAAGTTCTATGAGCTGAAGGCAAAGCTATCTTGTATGAGGCTAAAAGCTTCTTTATGTATTTCAAACAGACTAATTTAGCAACGATGTTTGGCCCCAACGCGACAAAAGAGGTCTACTGTTCCTTTTAGGCATTTGGCTGGAAAAGCAATGCTTTTCCTGTTGATTTCCCCCCGTGATTTATTAAAGTAATAAAGGCTTGTTATGGAAAATTCCAACAAAGTGTGTTTTATTATCTTTCACAGGGTGAGCCCAGCAAGACGTGTGGCTCCCCATCTGTCCGGTTAGGGTTCAGGGACTTCCAGGGTGAGGGAGGAGGGGGACTTTCTCTGTTCCTTCTCTTTGCCTGTGTAGCCCTTGTTGATGGGTAGACACTACCGTGTGTGATGAATTATTAATAGAAGAAGCTGTGAGACCATAAATATTCAAGGGGATACATCTGGTTTCCCTGATGCTTCATGTAAGGCAGAAAAAGTACATTTTTACCGAGTAGAACAACTTGTCAACCCCAAATCTCTTGCTTGCCTGAACCCAAGCACTACAAGGAGAAAAAAAGAATCTTCTGACACTGCACATAAAAGTCCAGCTGGGACCCACTGCGTGTGAGGAATCTGCAGGGTTCAGCCTGGAAGAGACCATGTGAGCTGACAATGTTGCCATGTTTTCTTAGTAGATGTGAGGCTGTCTGCTGGGACTTAGGGGAGGGGAATACGGCATTTCAGAACATCATTTGAAGACTTAGAAGAGGACAAAGGAGATAGAAGCACCTCTAAGGGAGTTTGCAGGTGGAGGAGAGCAGCAGGTGTAGAGTGGAGGGCTTGGGACCCACCAGGACTTTGGCAACACCGGTTCCTCCCATGTTTTCTACCCCGGGAAGATTAAAACCTATGCAGATGTCAATGTCTCCATCTCCAGGGCGTATTTCTGCTTCCAACACTCATCTTCAGAAGCAGATAATCAAAGAAACAGAGTGAGTAGGAAAGTGCACTTAGAGCGGAAGAGAAGCGCTTCCGGCTGCACCTGCTTCAGGAATTCTCTGGTGCTGCTCACAGAACGCGCGCAATTCTGTTTCTCGGCATGGGACCCTCCAGCAGGACTCCCACAGAAGGAGCGTTTCTTAAACCAGCCTTTCCAAGGCGTGTTCCATAAAACCACAACTTCCAAGAATGCTGACAGATATTATGTGAACAGAAAGAGGTGCAGAGTAAAAAGACCTTTGCACATGTCTGAGAAGACCTACAAAAGCTTACCTTGTAAGTCTTGAAGGACCTTGAATAAAACCCTAACGGAATGCCCCCAGGGGACCTTGGAATGCCTGGAGACATTTTTTACTGTCAAAATTGAGGGCAGTGACTGGAAGGGAAGGTGGAGGTGCTTCACTGACATCTAGCGGGTGGAAGCCAGGGAAACCAAAGACCATCATACAGTGCACAGGACAGCCCCCACAGCAAAGAACCATCCGGCCCTATAGGTCAGCAGTGCAGAGGCTGAGAAACCCTGGCCTAAGTGTATTGAAGACAAAACC